GTTTCAGTGCAAATGAATTTGTATAGAATTTTTGAGTTAATATTATTTAACAAAATTTTACCATTTATTGAAAGGCAAGAAATAATTCCGAAAACACAATATGGTTATAGAAATGGGGTATCAATTAATGATTTACACATAGATATGCAAAAAATTATTTATAATTCATTAAATAATAATAATGTTAAAGAAATTCACATAATTTTCACAGATTTTTCTGATGCTTTTGATAGCGTTAGCCATAAGAGACTTTTAGATAAACTGAGAATTTACGGTATTTCTGGTAATATGTATGAAATAATATGTAATATATTTAAAGATAGAAAACAAATTGTTAAATATAATGATTGTTTATCAAGTGAAACAAAAGTTATCTCGGGTGTATTACAGGGAGCAGTTTTAAGTAGCTTATTTTTTAGCATATATACTGCAGACATTGTAAAATATCTAAATTGTAAAGTATTTAGTTTTGCTGATGACCTGAGTTTACTTAAGGTAATATACAATGAAAACGATTGCATTTCACTTCAAAATGATTTGACAAATATATATAAATATTGTATTGAAAACTCATTGAAACTAAATATTAACAAATGTGAAGTTTTGAAAATTACTTTTAAAAATAACATAGAATTTAATTATAATTTAAATGGTATTGTTTTAAATAACTCTTTAAATCACAAACACATTGGAGTTATATATGACTCTAAAATGTCTTTTAATACACATTTTGATTATGTTATTGAAAAGGCGTTAAAAAAGTTTGGTTTATTAAAAATAATATGTAATCGTGTAAATGGTTTGACTTTTCTTAGGCTATATATAACATACATTTTACCGATTCTAGAGTTTTGTAATCTCTCTGTTATACCGAATATAACACAATCTTTAAGACTAGAATCTGTTCAAAGAAAAGTAACAAAATATGTCTGTTTTAAAATGTGTACAAATGATCTCTCATATGACGAGAGACTTGTTTTATTAAAAATCAATTCATTAGAAAAACGACGAAAATTAAAAATATTAAAAATTGTATTCAAAATGAGATTCAAATTAAATGAATACTCAAAGAAATGGTTGAATGAATTGACATTTCACGAGACCTCAAGGAATGGTGTGTTTTGTGACATAGCTTTACATAAAACTATTTGCGATAAAAGTTTTTTTATATATGCATCAAAATTGTATAATAATTTATCTAAAAATATAAGATGTATTACTAATTATAATCAATTTGTAAAAGAAATCAATGTTTTATAAATATTCATGTATTTGTTTAAGGCTTGTTCTTAAATTCAATAAATATTATTATTAAAATATTATTATTATTTTACAAAAGTGAACGAAAAGCAGTGATTCACGCATTGAAACTCATGTTAAAAGTACGGCCGCAGTGTCTGTAAAAATAACCGCAAATATTTAGTCGAATACAATGTAAGACTTTGATTTGTCACTTGTATATAATTTGATTATCAAGTTTGTGTGCATACATTTGAATAATATTAGAGCTATTCTTTAAAAGTTATTTAAAACAAATTACTGGTTTCTTTTGGTACACCATATTATACATTAAATATAATATTTTGTCGATTTTGATTCTTTATGACCTAATGCTTAGGTTTGATTGCATTCATGATTTATAGAACGTGAGAACTAGAGAACGAAATGGGAGAGAGAGATGAAGAAGAAGAAAGCACTTGTGCCACAACTACTGGTAATAAGAGTATTGGATTCCGACGCCAGTCATCTACTAGTGGGCCAAATGTGTCGAATGGGACGCGAACTCAGAACCGGCTTTCCATCGTTGAATTGCCGACCGGAGCCCGACTCAGACAACGCCGTCGGGCCGTTGAGATCACAGATCAGCGAACGTGTGTTTTATTGCATTCAAGGCTTAAAGGCATGAAATTAGAAGACATCGCGTATGAACTCATTCTTTCTTCTAATATATATTTGATTTAATGTTTGATTGCATGCGATATACAAATGACATGTTATGTACGGTTTGGCACAATTTGCATATTGCTTTCAAAATGAAATTAAACTTTTATTAGTAATAAAATATTACACAAATGTTTTATACAGTAGAAGCATATATTCTTAACTCATATGTGAGAACAGAGAGCGCTCTTGTGTTCGCAATAATATTGAAATAATATTACAAAACTATAGAATATTTATAACACATATAGAATAGTGATCTGCAGTTGCGTTAACTGGATAGAGATGTTAACGTGCACAAATTAAAATTCTAGGATTATTCAGCATGAGATATTTGTTTATTTTAATTTATTAAAGCGTCGATATGCAATATTTAAAAATCACATCACAAACAACTACATAACCTTTATAACAAAATATATTGACCAAGGTTTGCAAGCAATTGGAAAAATAACCTACAAAGATGCATCAACATTTAAAAACTTATTAATGCTATTTAGGAAATTTTTAAATATTTTTAAAAACAATTAGTTTGATTCAAATAAATTGTTGAAACTATTTGTAATTTTTCATAGAAAAAGCATTGGCCCATTAGAATTACTCATATAAATATAGAGCTTTGATTTTTCGAGAAAAAATATAAATTTGAAACTATACATGGTCAAAATTGGAAAAATTTGGGAATTACGTTCTAATTAAATCTTCATAATAATAATTATGGATTTAAGTGGTTTTAAAAAAGTTTACAAACGCAATATAATGTTATTCATTTAGGCAAACATAATTGACAAGCATATAAATATGCCGTTTGTATCTCATATTTTATATTGTGAATGAACAATGTCGACGCTTTAATTATGATTGAATTAGAAATGAGACATAGAGTAGATTTGAAGTTTTTGATGCCATTTGTCTAAATTGAATGCATTGCAATCGGTGGACATTCCTAGTTTGTAATGTGCATTGCATTCTGTGATTGTAATAAACAACAATCACACCCCTATTCTGGTATATATGGGTATCTCCCTATGCCCTCTGTGCCACACATTTGCTCTGTAATCTACTGTACTTTTTACTATTGAGTAACTATACATCTGTGCAGTAGTTGGAGTGCAGTGTGTTGTGTGCTCTCTAGTATCAAAACCAATCATTAAATTCTTAGCTCTCACTAAACACAAACACTACAGAATTGAGAGAATATTATATGTAAAATAATGGCAATAAAAATATATTACATTAATGATAGATATATCCACTTTAATACTGTATATTGTTCATGAATTTATAATAATTATAATAATAAGTGTGAATTGTTTGTGCATTTGTATTATTATATAATAATTGATTTAAATCGGAAACAAATCTCCATTTCTATGTATTTCTAGTCTGCAAGCATTGAGTGCCGAAGTGGGTGCGGGTGCGGGCAGTGAAGTGAGTGGCGACCATTCTAGCGGTCAGAGTCACAGGCGTTTGACTGCATTGTATAACAGCTACGGCACAGACAGTGGGGCCATAAGTGAGGCACGAAATATGGCTAAAAGGAGAGCCATTCAGTCGGGCGTTGGCGGCGGTGGACCGGCCGGAGCCAACATCAAAGGACCTACTTCGCTCTTCATTTTCAGTGAAAACAACTTCATTAGAAGACACACCCGATTCATCATTGAATGGCCATATCCTTTTCATTGCTATATATTTTATTCATATCACTTTATATTTAAAATACATACTTTTACTAATTTTTACGTATTATGAATACAATCAATAATAGAAATATAATTAGCATTTATTTATTGCCATATTAAATTTGACTATTAATTTAGTTTAGACCTCAAACGATTTAAACAACACAATGCTTTCAATTTACTAAATATTTGTTTAATATGTCATTTATTTATGGATTTCTAATAATTTCTGAAATACTGTTCAATCAGTTTAGAATATTAATTACAATTCATTCTAATAATTGTTGTATAGAATACAACTGTGTATACTGTGTTGACTATATAGAAATATGTATTTAACAATTCATATTGTTAATTTATTAATTTTAACATAATCATTGGGTAGTCATAAAAAGATAAGTCAATTATAATTACTGGTTTTTTAAATATTTAATAAACAAAATAATATAATGTGAAATGATATTCAATAAAATTCTCACTCGTATTCATATACTGTATAGAGAAAGGCTCATAATTGAGAGTTTCTTCGCCTGCGAATAACTCTATCCCTCATAACAAACGAATGCATTGCAGGCAAAACATCATTAACTCCATTATACAGTTTAATTTAGTTTTATGTTTGGCTTTATCTAATATGTAGTATACAATTTGATATAACGTTTAGTTGCCTGATTATATCTGATTAAATTTTATTCTTCTAAAGTGTTATTACACTCGTCTCATGTAATCACTAGTTCTTCGTTTGGTTTCATTCATTTTTTTTGAATTATTTTTATAAAATAATGTTTTTAACGAATGTTTATTTTACTTTCTTTGCTCATTAATTATTACGATAATGATTAAGATTTTGAATATATTTAACCAATATTATTATGTTTATTGATTAACAAATAAAGCATATATACAAATGATTTATTCAATTCTAATAAGTAAATAGATAAAATCCTATCGCAAATGTCAACAAAATATTGCAATCATAAAATGCAATACCAGTTTAATCGTTTTAAACATTTATCTTTATATAATATAATAATTTTATTTTATACTCAAAATTATTAAAAATAAGTTGAAATGAAAATATTTTCCTTAACATTTAATATATTTATGCTGATTGGGAAAACACTGTGTTTGAATATGCGGTGCTCTTAACCATTATTGCCAATTGTGTGGTATTAGCTCTCGAGGAACACCTGCCGAAGAAGGACAGAACGCCGTTGTCTTTAAAACTGGTATTATCTCAAAAGTGACACTTTCTTTACGTGTCATTGATTTAAATGAAATTTATTTATGAACGTAGGAAACGTCTGAGCCTTACTTTTTAGGCATATTCTGTGTGGAGGCAACACTCAAAATATTAGCCCTAGGATTTATATTACATAAGGGATCATATCTTAGAAATGTTTGGAATATATTGGACTTTATAGTAGTATTAACAGGGTATGTTTTGATTTTACTTATTTTTTTATTAATGATAATTTATTTATAAATAAATTATGCATTTATTATTATTTACTATATAACTAAGCACATATTTAGTATGTTGTTGTTATTATAATATTATTTTGTATTATTAGCAAATTATTGGTATTGCGCTTATTTATATTAATATAATAACTTAATTTGTAATTATTAAATTATTTAAATTCATAGAATGTATAATTCTTAGTGTGTTTGTATAGATAATGATACAAATATAGTGAAGTGATTACAATGTTCTAGCGTAGAGTACGAGCGATGCGATAGCATAGTGTATAATAAGACCAAACTGTCCGCCCTGTCATAGAATCGATTCAGTAATGTGTGAGAGTAGTGACAGAATTGATTGATAAATAGTTTCTAAACCTATTAATTAACTTTAAATCCAAGTTAGCAAAAGTGTAAATTCAATTTCTAAACTCAAATTATGCTAAAATAACGGGACAAACACTAGACTGGCCAACAAAGCCATCGAAGGCAGTCAATTTAAAAATGTTGACTTCCGAATGCTCCGTTCATTTCGTGTTTTACGTCCACTAAAACTTGTGTCCAGAACCCCAAGTAAGTCAACAATGTATTACGAATGTCATTGTTTCATAACAATGGACAATTACCATGGTCCAATAGGCCAAATTTGGTTCGGGTACAAATTGCTATTGGCTTAATATATGGCTACCAAATACCACTTATTGCAAAACAATTATCAATTTTATTATTACATAAAACACAATTAAAGAGTATAAAAATGTCTGCGTTTTGTATGAGAGACGCAGGTTTTGGATAACAATAGTTGTAGTGACTATAATTGTAAACATAATTTGCAATAGACTTGCATATAATTGTCGTAAATTAGGTAAATTTAGTGATTGTTTTCAACTGTAAAAGTATAGCACAATTATAACGACGATTTGTGAACCCGGATTAATATATTATTGTAATATATAGAATAACATAATAATATTTAGTATAATATACTGTAGTACTAGTATTATAATATAGTAATAATTAGTATATTATAGAAATAAAATAATTGTAATATTCATGCCTCGGATTTTGAAACAATTCTGACGCAAAATAGTGTTATGCACCACTCAAAAATAATTTTTTATAAATATATGTTTTAATGTTTATTTCTCTTATATACTAATTAATTTACAATTAAAACATCACAATAAAATATTTCAATAGACTTAATTTTTATTGGAAATATACAGGATTAAGATTAAAGGATTTAAATCAAAGTCACATGTCTTGCACGGGCAAAGCATGTGATTTACTTAACTATTAAAATACATGTTTTTAAGCCAACACATGACTTGAGTTATAATGCATTAAATGTTAAAAACAATAATTTTTCAAATCATTTTTTTTGAAATAATCAATTTGTTCTGTCTTTAAATTGTGTTTTAATTATTATTTGATAATATGTTCAACATTAATGAGTGTTTTGTTGGTTGAAATGAAGATTAAATTATATGAAGAGATTGTGTGAAATAATAAACTAAATTCAGTGTATTTTGAATACAAATAATAGTGTTTTGTGTGAAGCAATTAAATGCAAAATAATGATTATTTTTCAAACAATTGATTTCAATTTATGTATAATCAGTGATAAAATGCTAAAGAATTGTCATATCATTACTAAATTTTGTGGTTATTTTTTAATCAATTAAATAATTGATTGCAATTTATGTATGTTTTATTTATATATTTGTGTACTCATTGAAATTGTGACTTATTTTTGAGTGGTGTATAACACTGTTTTGCGTCATAAATGTTTCAAAATCCGAGGCATGGTAATATTTAGATGTACTGTAAATGAATATAGAAATGTATGAACATATAGTAGATTGTATGAATTTATAATAGCATTAGTTGTTTTGTTGCATTGATTGTATAATTGTTTGTTCTATAGGTTTATAACCTTTTATGCTCCTGCTGAAAAGCAAATGCTAGGCGGTGTAGATTTAAAAACATTGAGAGCCATTAGAGTATTAAGACCTTTGAAGCTGGTGTCAGGGGTGCCAAGTAAGTACACCATTGATGTCTGTCTATTACAACATTATTATTGTGAATTTCATTAGAGCTTTATTGCCCTCCTTTTACATTACAAATCAATTGCACGGTTGCATGTGCTCAGGAATAGCCAGTTATTCATTCTTGTGTCTCATACCATGTTATTTCTGTTGATCAAAACAAACCAAATATTGTCTAACTCTCACTATTTTATATTAAGTTTAATGGAAATACATTTATTTTGACACACGTTATATAAATTTAAAATCAATCAATATTATAATAGCATGCAAATGTTACCTATATGAAAGCTATCGAGATTTTGGTTAATCGGTTAGTATTGTGTAAAAATCAATAACAGTATTCTATCAATCATATTAAATATATTAAAACTATTCAAAACAACACAAAAACTATAGTCATTATTTTATGGCATTTGAGGAAAAGTTTGAACAATATATTTACAATGAAACATAACTTGATATTAATCTTAAAACAATTTATTTAAAATAGTTTTATAACAAGTAAAATACACAAAAACGATTGCCATAATTTTTCCATGATAAACATAACAAACAAATTTCAAATTTTAGATTTATTTTTTATAGGAAAAGATCTATAAATTAAGTTTTGATAACTTAAATATCGATTATTGTATATAGATAGATCAAATAAATTACACAACAGATGAAACTAAGATTCCCTTTGCATTCAATAAACTTTTACTTGTATAATTAAAACGTTAAACTAATTACTATATTACTGCCACAACATCCAGGTCTTCAAGTTGTCTTAAAGTCCATAATCAAAGCAATGGCTCCTTTACTACAAATTGGTTTATTAGTATTGTTTGCAATCGTCATATTTGCCATCATAGGCCTTGACTTCTATGAGGGGGCCCTCCATAAGACATGCTTCAGTTTGCCCGATGAAAGTCAGTATCAAATACAACCCGGAATCGGGTGTTGTCACCAATTCTGACAATTATATTTGAATAATTTTTATATTAAAATCAATTGCATGCAATGATTAATAATTAGAAATTGTGACAACACTTGTAATATATCTGAAATAGCAGTATATATGTTAAATGATTGGTAATGAATGGTATAATTAATTGAATTGACAGCTGTTATATACCGAGAGGGTGACGCTCTGGAGACGCCGTGCACAATGTCGCCCCCGGATAAGGCACCCAAAGGCGCCTATTCCTGTCCTAATCACACCATTTGCAAAGAGGGTTGGGAGGGACCCAACTATGGCATCACATCATTTGATAATATATTTTTCGCAATGTTAACCGTATTTCAGTGCATTACAATGGAGGGATGGACCAGCATACTTTACTGGGTATCACATTTTATACACTATTACACCAAGTGCTCTAAATAAATAATATCTACTCTATATGATTACTATAATTTTTATAAATTACATGAATTACTTCTATAATTCTGGTTTTTATAATTAAAATTTATTATTAACTTTATTTATTATTAAAAATTCATTGAAAATATTAATTAATCTAAATAACACTTAAGACTTTGAGAATTAATTTGTTTAATTTTATTAATAATAAGATAAATATATTTAATATAAATTGTGGAATCATTTACCATTATTATAAAGCATTTTATTGAGACAAACATTTTTAATAATTATCAAACTTACATAATGTATAAATATATAGTGAATTAGAGAGAGAGAGAGAGAGAGAGAGAGAGAGAGATTCTAATACAGTATATTGTATGTTTGTGTTCAATGTGCTCATAATATGGAGTCTAAATATTTCAAAATAAATAATGTAAAGAAAACAAAGAAAATATCGATAAAAAGAGCCAAGCTGATCTAATGTAGTTATATTAAATTATGAATCGCATAAAATTCTTAAATTTCATTTATTTAGACTAACGATGCGATGGGAAGTTCATATAATTGGATATACTTTGTGCCACTCATTATTCTGGGCTCATTCTTTATGCTCAATTTAGTATTGGGTGTTTTGAGCGGGTACGTTTATATTATAATATAATCATAATACCTATATTGTTCATGACATTATGCTTGCTAATAAATACATTATTACAAGTAACATTTATTCATTATATATAATATAATATTGTTTTAATATTATTAAAATAATTTTAATAATGAATTTAATAATGATTACTTCACAGAGAGTTTGCAAAGGAGAGAGAAAGGGTTGAGAACAGACAGGCATTCCTGAAGTTACGCCGACAGCAGCAGTTGGAAAGAGAGTTAAACGGTTACGTCGAATGGATCTGCAAAGCAGGTATACATCAACTTCTCATTCCTATCACTATTCCTATACAACAAACTATACAACAAATATCCAATAATTTGTACGAAACTTGTGTTGAGTGAAAATCGATTCAATACACATAAGGGTTTTTAATATGATTTAAAACTTAACTAAAAATGTGTTAGGATTTGAGCTTTTCTGTCCCACATTTTCTATATCTAAACAATGAGATTAATAGAAATTATCACTTATTTTTTTTATCATTAATTATCATTAAAAGCAAATGTTTGCATAAATCACTATTTTATAAAATATTAGATTAATATCATGCTGTTTGGGTACAGTTCATTATATAAAACCATTCATTATGTATAATTTATATTAATGTCAAAACATTATATTAATAAATTATCTCAACAAATAATGATTTTACAATAAATTTGTTAAAGAATCTAAATACAGAATGTGGAAATTATAATATATATCAAATTGTATATGGCAAATACTGATAATTAAATTTTAAAACTTGTATTTATTTGAAATTTATTGTTATATTAGAGGAAGTGATTTTGGCTGAAGAGAGGACTACAGAAGAGGAGAAAATGCACATAATTGAAGGTAAAGACAAATAAAAAAATATAATAAAGTTTTATAAATAATCTACCATTTAGAATTCAATTAGTATTATAAATATAATGCAATAAAATTGATTTTTATATACAGTCAATGATAATTACAATGTAATAACAAATTAGCTGTTAATCAGTAGTTAAACATCTATAACTCGTTTGCTTATAATTAATACGTGTCCACACTATTAGCTCGACGAAGAGCTGCAGCCAAACGAAAAAAGCTTAAGTCTATGCACTCGAAGAGTACGGATGAAGAGGAAGAGGAGGAGGAGGAAGAAGAAGAAGGTATGACTGATTCCGTTCTTATAAATTGTCAAAATAATCTTTTTTTAGGTGTATTCATATCTTAATTATAAATTATTTGATTAAATTTAATAATGAATTAAAGCATATTTACTTATTTATTTTAAATACACTAAAAACAATTGAGGCTAATTTACAATATAATATTATTATTACTAACTAATAATTCTCAAACCAATATAAAGTAATTTCTATTTCCTTTATTATTCAAATTGAATAAATCCTGAAAAACACATAAACTTATGTTCTTCAATACAAAATCCTTCACATGTTTTTCAAAGAAAACTCACAATCAATACAAACACATCTAAATAAGTACAGTATATATAGTACAGTTAGCGTGACCACCTCTGGGTTTAAAAATAGAGAACATTTGACCACATTTCCTTTAAAATAGAGAACAAATAAAGAACACATATTTTACGTTAATTTTTTTTATAACTTTAAAATCGAGATTATTTAATACCAATGCTGAGGTAAAATTTATTATATAAGGTGTATAAAAAATGACAATTTTTAATCAAGAAAGTGTCAATTCTATTAAAAAGTTTATTGTTGTATAGATAAATAAATATTTAATAAATTAAGTAACATTCCTATCATTTATTTTAAATTTAAAATAGAGAACAGTTCTCTATTTTGTCCAAATACAGGTCCAAATAGAGAACTGTTCTCTGAAATAGAGCACAGGTGGTCACGCTAAGTACAGTGTAGTCAATAAGTGTAGACAAATATTGAGTTACAAAATACTCAATTCAAGCCTATGTTTGAGTTTCTGTCTTTTGTTATAAATTATAACATTTGTTTGCCGTGAATAACAAAAAATAGTATTCAGATGCAACTGTTTTATCCTATTTTGTATTGTAATAGTTTAGTAGATAATCATAGTGTAGAAAATATATTTAATTTCAAATATAAATTTTAATCATGAAATATAATTAAAAATAGTTTTAGTCATAAATAGTGTTATTTAATTGAAAGTCGATATGAATTGACAACAATATATTTAATTTAAATGATTTTCTAAATTTAGTATAAATATATTAGCAATGAATGTGTGTCTCAAATGCTAAGACATATAATATGCTGATTATATGAAGAAGACTTCACAAATGTTAATCATATGAATATTTCTCTTTCTTTCAAATGCATGTCTTCTTGCAATCCGTGATTCGTCTCGTCTTTTACTTATAAACAATTGATTTGATCTAAAAATATAAATAATATAATATTCACTTTCACTGTCACATGAATTCACGCATTGAATACGATTTGCAACTTATATAATGAAATGACTTATTTATTATGTTTATTGTCTCTCTCATCGCACAACACATCTCTCATACCATTGATTGATATAATATCGACGACTGTATTGACTATAAAATACTTAATAACACATTTAATTCATTTTTGTGTCTTATGTTATCAATTCCTATGTGTGATATGTGTGGGCTTTCTATGTGTCTGTGCCTCTAATATGATGATCAATATTAACTTAAATATACAATACTTTTAATTATATGATAATTAAATGCCATCCGGAATGTGTGCGTGTTTTTCTAAATGCAAATTTTATTTTGATTTCAAACTCATATTTATGTATTTTTATCAAACAATATCTTATCTGAATATAAATGAAAATCATATTTGTATTTCACTCACCAATTTATATGACACACTATGACTTATATATTATGTTATATACTCTGATATATTGTCCACAACCGCACACACTGTCGATCCGCACTTTCCCATCAATATCTATGACATTATTTGCCGATATTTAATATATTTTATTGCCGTCATATAAAATGCAATATAAACATTGAATTAATTGAATGAATAGAGCCTTCAAGCAAAGTACTCAAAGGTATTTACAAAATGTTAAAATTATTACAACTGATCAACAATTTAGTGCAAATTAATGGCCACTATTTGGTAAAATGGTTTTAATTGCAAACCATTAATTAGTTTGTAGTTTAATTCAATTGAACGAATTTATTGTATAGTTTAGTTGGCGTTGAGTATGATTTGGGGCATAAATTTTAGTATTTTTAGAAAATAGAAATAGCTTTTAGTTTAGAAATTGTCCCAAAATTGGCCGTAGATTATAGATATAGAAATAGATATATCTGTATTATTCGTGTTGAATATATAGCTTATATTAGCATTGAATGTATCTATAAATATAATAGCATTTTTATTTAGCAGAGTATGACTTTTCTGTAATATCATAGCTTACAATTAGATGAATACCATATTATTAGATACCCTTTGTATACTAATTATTGAATCGCCAATTATAGCTTTAAATCGGTTAACATTAGTATTTTAGTGCTTGTATTGAGTCAAATAAAAAGATATAGTTAATTACAATTTATTGTAACGTTATGCATGTTTTTGTCAGTTTGCTTGGCTTTGTATGTAAAGCATGACTTTTGGGATTTGCATCCATTGAATGTCTACAAACGCATTGCACGTCCAAATAAATCCCATCTAATAGTAAGCCCAGAGATTTGTTTTTAAAATCCATCGCTTTAATAAAAATAATTAATAATTAATGCTATTCAAAAATACAATGACATAAACTTAGCAAATATAATAATCTATCATTCGTTGTGTACAATAAAAATATTGTCGTATATGAGAAGTGCTAATAATTATATTCTTTGTTGCAATAATACTGTAAACAACACCAAAAGGGTTTGCGAGGGCTTCGTATTTACACTCTAAGATTAAGAATAAAGGAGCATGCAAAGCTTTCTGGAAAGCTGAAAAACGGTTCAGGCAAGTTGTTTTGCATTACAATTTACTTTATTCTTATATTAAATATGTTGAACTGAAGACAGTTAAATATGTGCGATGTTTAAATGAATATGTTGCAATTCAGGATTGGTGTGCGACATGGGATCAAAACACAAGCATTTTATTGGTTTGTAATATTGTTGGTCTTCTTAAACACGGCGTGCGTTGCCGTTGAACACAAAGGACAGGAAGACTGGTTAACAGACTTCTTATGTAAGTCATACTATATATCCATTTCCTTGTAGTTTCTCTACTATATTGTATGCCTTTTGTTATTATTGCATACATTCATCAACTCTAATGTCTAACATGAATGAGTGCAATATTGTTTGACATTATATTGATTTTATTGAACAGTTTAGATGTATTGCAACTATATTTTAAGAGCAACTCTTGGTTTGTTTATCAATTCCAAAGACTGAATCTATAAAATTGGTGTTTTAGAAACTAGATTTTGGCGTTTCACAAATAATATTAATTATTATTTTAGATATTTTAATATGAAGGAACAATGCATATAAAGTAAAGTACAATATCATACGTTAGTTTCTAATCGATAATCTAGCAAATATTTAACACCCGTTAGCATTATAAATGTTTTTGTCTTACAAATCAATTGAATCAATCATTTCAGAGATCCTAATCAATCAAATAAATTGTTATCATTACAGTATATTCCGTATTCTATATAACTTATTGACAATAAGTTATTGAATATATGTTATAAAGTATTGCCATGTTAAAGTTTAGTATAAAATTCTATATAGCATAAATAACATATATTTTTAATCAAGAAATGCATTTTTAATGGATTTCAATGCAATTTCTGTGTTGTCAACTAATCTATGTTATCAACCAAATGCTCTGGAACCGTTTTGTCGATAACATAGATGTTTGACTGTATTTATGTTATACAATATTTATACATATTTATATTTTATTAAGTGATGGGCATTTAATTAATTATATTAATATTATTATTACAGATATTGCGGAATTTGTATTTCTGGGTTTATTTATATGCGAAATGTGTGTCAAAGTATATGCGTTGGGAATCAAATGCTACTTTGAGTCTGCATTCAATCGCTTTGATTTTATGGTAAGTAATTAATTCATAAACACATTATAAAGAGATTTGTGAAGAATTACAATTGAATTCAATATTTAGGTAATATTTGGCAGTATTTTTGAAGTGATTTGGTCTGAAGTAAAGGGCGGTTCGTTTGGCTTCTCTGTGTTGAGAGCATTACGTCTGCTCAGGATTTTCAAAGTCACAAAGTATTGAATGTCTTATTCATAAATAGTGTTCTCAATACACAATTGTGTTCATATTGTGTACATATTTGTACCCCAGGTATTGGTCATCGCTTAGGAATTTAGTGATTTCGCTGTTGGCGTCCATGCGATCCATTATCAGCTTATTATTCCTATTATTCTTGTTTATACTGATCTTCGCGTTGTTGGGAATGCAGTTGTTTGGCGGCGCGTAAGTACTCATCCATTGGATGATATTATATTGATATACCATCCAATACAATCACATCCAACACAATTCACACATTTTTTAGAAATATTTATTTGCCAAATATCCATATTAATATTTTGTTAATCAGTTATACGAGTATACATTATATAGTCCATCATTTCTTCAGTATTTTGAATCTAAGCTAAAACAAGTTAAACAAACTGTAATTTAATGAGCATTATTGACATTTTAAAATTTACTACAGTTTATTGTAGGAAATAAGTTGCTATTATACTGATATTTAATTGGCAATAATAGTGTATAATTAATATAAATTTGGAAACATTGTTTTGATTGTCAGGTTTAACTTCGAAGAGGGCACACCTCCGGCCAATTTTAACTCATTTGCGATCGCATTGTTAACTGTGTTTCAAATACTGACGGGTGAGGACTGGAATGAAGTGATGTATAAGGCTATCAAATCTCAGGGCGGTATACATGAGGGAGGAATGATATACAGCGTGTATTTCATTATTTTGGTGTTGTTTGGGAACTACACACTACTCAACGTATTCTTGGCCATCGCTGTCGACAACTTAGCCAACGCTCAGGAGTTGACGGCCGCCGAAGAGGAAGAGGCAGAAGTGGACAGAGAGAGGAATAAGGAAGAGATAGAGAAGGAGATCGCAGACCTGCACCGTCAGGGCACTAATACAGACACTCTGGGAGACACCGATGATCTTGACCTCTTGCCTTCGGTCAATATTATGCCTCCGTCTCCGTTGGCCAACTCGCGAGGGGGTGGAGGCGATGCGGATATTAGTAAAATCGAGTTTGAACTAGTTAAAATTCCCAAACCTAAGCGCCCTCACATTCAAATGGACGAGGAAGAGGAGGAGCCGTCGGGTCCAAAGCCAATGTTGCCCTATTCATCGATGTTCATACTGTCGTCGTCCAATCCGGTCCGTCGGGGCGCACACTTCATCACAAACATGCGTTATTTCGACGCTTTTATTATGATTATCATTACTCTGTCGTCCATCGCCTTAGCGGCTGAGGATCCGGTCGAAGAGAGCTCCGACATCAACAGCATTCTTGTCTACTTTGACTACGCCTTCACCGGTGTATTCACAGTAGAGCTACTGCTCAAAGTGGTTGACCAAGGTCTCTTTCTTCATCCCGGCGCATATTGTCGCGACCTCTGGAACATTCTCGACGCCATTGTCGTCATCTGTGCCCTCTGTGCCATCGCTTTTGGCTTCTTGTGAGTTCTTTCCATCCATTTCTTATATTTTATTTGTTTATTTCTTTAACAATTATAATTAAATATATTTGAAAACATTGTGTATAAATTGTATATAAATATGTTTTTGTTTTGGATGACTAATTAAAATAGTGGAGACGCTGTGAGTCCGGGTACGAAAGGGGCCGCATCTAGTCTAAGCGTAATCAAGTCTCTCAGGTATTCATATATTGCAAATCCACATCCATTACAATTAACCCAATTTGAATCGATAGGGTATTACGTGTATTACGACCGCTTAAAACCATTAAAAGAGTTCCCAAATTAAAAGTAAATGTTGTTCATTTTGATTATTTTTGAATTGATTACAACTATTTTATCATTTATAGGCTGTGTTTGATTGTGTGGTCACTTCACTCAAAAATGTGTTCAATATCTTAATAGTCTATATGTTATTTCAATTCATTTTCGCTGTCATTGCTGTGCAACTATTCAATGGAAGATTCAATTACTGTACCGATGAATCCAAACTGTTTGAAGTGGAGTGCGCGTATGTATTACTTTAATCATATCATTACAATTACCAACTTTATAACCACTGCATTCCATTATCTGTGTTTTTGTACTGGGACATTTTAATTAAACAAATTGATTCTTGTAAACATTTTCCCAGAACAAAAACACAGATTATTTAATGTTATTGGTTATAATCCGATAATTATATTTAAATTTTATTATATACAAATATTGTATAATTATTTATAATTGTATTTTCAAAGTTTTGTTGAAAGCACAAACTATATTTTAATGTTAGTCTATAATTAAAATTAACATTTTCTATAACGAAATCAAAATCTATTGGATATTAATGTCAATTTAATGAAAGGGTTTGTGATTAAAATATATAATTGATTCCAATCTAGCGGTGAATACTATTTATTCACATCAAACTCATTGCCTCCAGTGGTGAGGAAGAGAAGTTGGGAGAAACACCCGTTTCATTACGACAACGTTATTATAGCAATGCTTACACTTTTCACTGTACAGACCGGTGAAGGATGGCCTCAGTATGTCATTTAATACGTGCCATAAACTCATTATTTAATGCCATATTAATTAGCACCACATTTATATTTATTACATTCTATTCACAACTATAATGTTGCCTATTTAACAAATATTGTATGCTATAATACAAACGTGATTAAAATGTATAGTATTATATATATTAGTAGATAAAGGGTTAGTTGTAATTAAAAAATGCAGATTTAATATACTATATAATCGGAAATAGATTGACTATATAAAAACAATATGCTATTATTATCATGTATTTTACATAAAAGAATATTAAATAATAGCCCAAAAGTTAAATGAAAATAGAAATGAAAATATTAGATAAGATGTAAAGATTTGTAGTGTTAATTGGCATTTGAAATGATGAATGCATTGCTAATATATTTGTAGTGAATTGCGTGTAAAGTGTGTGTATTTGTGTCTTTGATAGAGTGCTTCAAAACTCGATGGACTCAGTGTTTGAAGATCACGGACCACTTCCTCGCTTCCGGATTGAGATGTCCTTATTTTACGTCATATTCTTCATAGTGTTTCCCTTCTTCTTCGTCAATATCTTCGTTGCCTTAATTATAATCACATTTCAAGAACAGGGAGAGAAAGAGCTCGAAGAGGGAGAGCTCGATAAGAACCAGAAGTCTTGCATTGACTTTGCAATACAGGCGCGTCCTCTACAGCGCTATATGCCTAAGGATAAGGACTCACTTAAGTATAAGATCTGGCGGGTCGTCGTCTCCACCGCTTTCGAGTACTTTATTATGGTTTTGATTGTTCTCAACACTATTCTCCTTATGATGAAAGTAAGCAAAACAACATTCAATTCATGCAATCATTTAATTCACTCTTTTGTCATTTTATCATATTTTAAAGCAATGTATGCATTAGATATAAGTTATTTATAATTATTATATTTTACTATTAATTTTTATTTATTAATTATTTTTATTTTATTTAATACTTTCTACTAAATACTAACATACATTATACTTTATACTTTATTCTTAGCAGCATTAATTAAATTATATTAAAATAGTTAATTTAATAATATTTTAAACATTATAAATTAAATTAATAATGATATATTTAGATAAACTTTTATAGATAAATATTCTAATATAAAAATATTTGATTTCAAGTTGTAAAGTTGCAAACTTTAATTATATACATTTGAAATTAAATTCCCTAATTTTAATTATAATTTATTTAATACTATTTGGACTATTTTACTATTAATTTTTATTTATTAATTATTTTTATTTTATTTAATACTTTCTACTAAATACTAACATACATTATACTTTATACTTTATTCTTAGCAGCATTAATTAAATTATATTAAAATAGTTAAAATATTTTAAACATTATAAATTAAATTAATAATGATATATTTAGATAAAGGAGGATGTCCAAATCAGCCCCCGCTGGCAATCGGGATTTGACCTAATAACATGAATGTACATCGAATAAGGAGTCCCCTGATATACTCCATATAGCTGAGCCACCTCGGGTTCGGCCGCAGT